TACGGAAAGCATTTCTCTGGTGGTTTCAAAAGCAAATTGTTTTCAACATGGACAAAAGTCTGGAATTCCCCCCCAACTTTTCACAAGAAAAGGGAGACTTTCAGCAACCAGCTAAACTCAGCTTGTCAATCAGAAAGGTCAGCAGTTCAGTGGTTCAAGTCCCTAGTGCCAGGTCTCCTGTGTGTGAGCAGGGGGGTTGGACTAGATGACCTCCAAGATCCCTTCCAGCAATTGTTGGGCGTAAAATCAACCTGGGGGTGAGTGAATGAAGCTGTCTCAAATGGGGAAATAGGGGATCCGCTTATTCTAAGGCTAGATTCATTGCAAGCAAAGCTTAAAACACTTTTCTTTTTTAACCTGGCCTGTATCCGTTCCCTCTGTTTTTAAACTCTGGGGTAGAAAGTGGAAGGGGGGGGCTATTTTTTCAGGAGGCAACTAGCTGGAGAAGCTTGCGAAACATCTTCAAAATGAAATTGACTCCTGAAAAAGCCCCTTTGGCACAACTATGACCTGGATGGCTGAGAATTTACAGGCTTGCTTCAGCTAGTTTCTGCTTCATTGCAAATAATGGTTGGAGCAAACCTCCTTGTGTGTGAACCTGGCCAGGGCTACCCGCAGCACAAAAGGGGGGCTGTGTGCACACACACACACACACACACACACACACACACTGATTGCCCACAAGGTGAGCTGACAATGCTGATTTATTGTCCTGAGCAGCGACAGAAGAAGCTTCACCTGGACAGGAACTGCGCCAGGAAAGGAAAGGGAAAATTATACGGTCTCCTGCCACCCAGGCAGGGGGTTGGACTAGAAGACCTCCAAGGTTCCTTCCGGCTCTGTGACTTCTGCACATCAAACATAACGGCAATCTATATCAGAGGGATCATTGATAAAAGTGGCCCCCTGCAAACCAGGGGGCACCGAGCAGGCAATTTCCTGGCAACTGGGTGGGAAGTCTGTTCAGCTTCCTCTGCTAAAAAAGGATTATGGTGGGTGGTTCCCCCCCCCACCCCAATGGGAGGTGGGCTGTCCTGCACAGGGGAAAATCCAGGTGGAGTTCCAAGGAATTGCAGCTTGCACTTCTGTGCCAAAAATCCCCTTTCATGGTGGGGTGGCACCCCAATACCTGCCCTTTAACACTTGATGGGCCTAGGGGAGATGTGGAGAGGCGGCCGACCCCTTTGGGGAAGGGAACGGGCTCCGTGTCCCATCTGGAGGGGGGGGGGAAACTAGGCCAGCTCTTTAGTCCCATGAAGCTGGTTAGGAAAATGTATCCCCCCCCCCCTGCAACTCTTTTGGAACCTGGGAAGACTGCTGGGGGAGGGTGCTTGGCAAATGAGGGTGGGAGCTCTTAGGAAGTGGGGGCCAAGCTAGCCACATGCAGGGGAGGGCCACCTCTGCGCTGGGGAGGGGAGGCGGGTGGACCCCTTCGAATACGAGAACCAGGGCAGAAAAAGGGGCAGAGCTGGAAGGCAAGGAGGGTGCCAGATTTGAAGAGGAGGGGGTGGGTGGGCTCTACTGGGAGCCTCAAATAGGCTTTTCCGGACTTGCTTGGCAGGGTCCATTTGTCCAGGAAGCCCCCCCCTGACCAGTCCTNCGGCGCTTTGCAGCAGGGTCGCAGGCTGGAAAGGGGGCCGAGCGGGCTGCCTCGAGCGCGGCGCTGCCTTCCGCCGAGGGCGCGCCGGAGCCCCGACGGCCGCGGGGCTCTTTCGCTTCTTTAGGACTTTCTTACATTTGTCCGCCGCTTCTTCTCGCCCTCGCAAGCAACGGAAGGGCCGGGCGGGGATCCAGCGCGCTTGGCTCGGCTTTTCTCTTCTCCCCCTTAGCGCGGAGAAGACGGGATCCTCGGGGTTGGAAGGGACCTCGGAGGTCCTCTAGTCCACCCCCCCTTCCTGAAACGGGAGACCCTACATCATGCCGGCTGGCACGGAGGAGGATCGGGCGCTGGTGTCGGGTTGAGAATGGGGCAGCCTGGAGCCCCAGAGGGGGCCGCGGATGGGGGTCCCTGGCTGGCTAGCAGTTCTAATGCGGGGGTCCCCTTTTCTCCCTCCCTCCCTCCCTCTCTTTCAGATTACGGGTAGGATCCGCACTTTCTTCCCCTTCTTCAAGGACAACTACCAGGGCTGGAAGGATTCCATCCGACACAACCTCTCGGCCAACGACTGCTTCAGGATGGTAACCAGGCCTCCTGGGAGAGGAAGGGGCTGAAGGGGGCCTCCTCCAAGGAGCCTCTGCTCAGCCGGGTGGGCCCCCTTCCGAGGGGGGAGGCCCCTCTTCAGGCTTGAGGGTCCCTCCGACACATCGATTCCTGGGAAGCCTCCAATCCAGGCATGGGTGTTTCTGGATCCCAGGGGAGTGAAGATGGGTGGACTTCAGTTCCCAGAATTCCCCATGGGTGAAGTTCAACTCTTCAGCTTTGTGGGCTGGGGAATTCTGGGAGTTGAAGTCCACCCATCCTAAGATGCTCCCGAGATGCAGAAACCGTGTGCCAGTTATTTCAAATCCCATCGTTCTTTACCTAAGAACCTCGGAGTGGGGGGGGAGATAAGGGGGGGGCTGCCTCCTTACAGAGACCCTTTCCCCCCCCCACAGGTGCTGAAGGATCCGTCCAAGCCTAAAGGGAAAGGCAACTACTGGACGGTAGACGTGGAGCGGATCCCCCCCGAAGCCCTGAAGCTGCAGAACACGGCCATCTCTCGCCAAGAGGAAGTGGCTTTCGCCCCCGACCTCACCCCGTTCGTGTTGCAGGGCCTTCCCTACGTGCCTCCCGGTGGGGCTCCGGACCCCCAGGCGCCCCTCCCACCTGAAGCCCTTCCCGTCAAGGAAGAGAAGCCCCCCGAGCCGCCGTGCAGGAAGCCCTTCACCATCAGCTCTCTGCTGGAGCCGCCACGGGAAGATGGAAGAAACGCCAAGCCAGGGTCGCCGAGCCCAGACGGGGTTTCCGCCAACTGCGTCCGCCCCCCTCTTGGGGAGGGCGGCCAAGGGGCCCCCTGCCCGCCCGCCAGCCCTCCCCAGCCGCCCCCTGCCTGCTGCACAGACTATTTCCAGACGCCTCCTTGGCACAATCATGGCACTTCGTCCCCGGCTGGGGGTCCCTCCTTGCCCATGCCAACCTTCCTCACCATCCCGGCCTCGCTAAGCCTGCCCTGCTGCACTTTGGGGCCTGCTGCCTACGCGAGTCCTCCTTACTGGAGCTTGGTGACGGCCCCCTACCCTCCACCCCCATATCCAGGCCTGCCCTCCGTCCCACTGGACGTACAGCAAGCGGGCCGGGTACCAGACGCCTCCTGGCTGGCCCCTCTGCCTTGGGTGGTCCCCTTCCAGCCCCTGCCCCCTCCCCATAACCCTTTCTGAGGGGCGCCCCCTTTCAGAGGAAGGCAGATATTCCCCTGAAGTGCACAAATTCCCTTATTTAACACTGAGAGAGCCGAGGTGCCGCAGTGGTTAAATGCAGCACTGCAGGCTACTTCAGCTGACTGCAGTTCGGCTGTTCAAATCTCACCGGCTCAGGGTTGACTCAGCCTTCCGTCC